CCGAGTATTACAGAGGTTTCACCAACCTAGTTGGCAAGATGAGTATTCCTAGAATACTGAACAGATAGATTCCGAGAATCTATTACAATGAAGGACACACGTTGAGTTAACTCTAACTAGTTTAATACATCAAAGGTCACTTAAATAAAGATTACAAATTAAGGCTATTTATATCAAAAATAAAGGAAATTAAAGAAAAGGATATAAATGAGAATAAAGGAAATACCGAGTATTTCCAGTTAGCAACAGTTAACAGTAGCAACCCGGTTGCTACCTAATCCAACAGTACAGAGCGCGAACATTGAATCACACAACAAGACGAACCCAATTTTCTTTTGGTGGACCCAATTCATGGTAATCCAATGGACCAGGATAAATGTAGATTCCCAAATGTTGTGCATAGTTATACGATTTAAATGCAAATTTAAAATGAGCGAACAACTTTTCAAGTTCACTTTCCATTTCTAATTCAGATCTTCGGGTCAATCGCCTGAACTCTTCCCAAACAGTCGGTGGATCATGAAATGAACTCCCTTTAAGAGGAGGAGGACCATTAGTCAGTTCAATAGGATTGACAGGCTTGACAGGAACAATCAACAGCAAACATCTAAGGCATATTGAAGAGGTAATCAGTCAAGAAAACGTAGGGATTATACTCTTTGATAATCTTCATCATAGCATAATTTTCGCCTTTTGTGTCTTGCATCAAATTACCAAAAGGATTACTCCTAGGCTCATTTTTTAATTGCTCTAATACCGTAAATTTTCGTGAACTTTCAAATGCCAGTCTCGCATAACCTCCAACTGCTGGTAACAAATCCATGATTGGAAATTCGGGTCAAGCATAGTCCAACAATGAAATAAACTCTAATCCATGATTTCCACAGTTGAACGGTGCTAGGAAGATGAGCCACATGTACTTGATGACCTCGTTTCTGAAGTAATAAACCGATACCAAGACATGCATTCAAATGACCAGGACTGCATGAAAATGTTTAACTTAAAAAATTCAGTCAAATACAAATGAAACTTACACAAACAATGCAGCTAACAATATTTTCGAGGTTTATCATCATCTTTCACCATTTGAACTTTAAGCTTCCAAATAAATGAGACCGGTATCGTTAGTACCGGTATTTATACATCCATAACGAAATTTATTGCATTCATCTTCTTTCTGGTAGATAATCTTAACTAATTAACATTGACTGAATGCGCTGGGATTGAGTTATCAAAATATTAATTAAATGGTACTGTTTTAATAGAAGTAATAAGTATGATATACAGGCTGATAGAGCTCTTTATTCACTTAGCAATACATAATGAGATTTTATTCACAATTAATCTTCATTTAACTGTTTAGCCCAACTGATTGTGTGACGATTGTGAGACTCGGATGGATCGTTCTTCTTACCAGAGTAAAATTTATTGATCACAATAGCAACAATGACACCAAAAATGAGTCCAACTGCCGCGAATAACACGATTGAACCAAAAATTGTTCCAATGTGCGCACTTTTAGTGATTGCGCTGTTTTTTTGTTTGTCAATCAAACTTTGCTTACTCCTTTGGTAATTTTGACAAAAATCTGAATGAACAAGTTTCACATCAGCATCATGACTTAGATAATACTTAGATAATTGACATATGCTCAACCTTGCGGCATTTGCTGGGCAATAATTGAAAGAGTGACAAGTGACTTCTTTATCGTTCCAATCATGACAAAGAGCAGCACATTGATCGGCATTGAGATTCATTTCAGTGAGAAAAACGTCCTCGACAATTAATGTCCCCGTTACTTCAAACCTATCCAATACTTTTGCTGTATTGAAATAAAAGAAATCTTTAGTTTGATGTATTAATCTTCATCAATAATTGATTAGTGAATTTTACTTACGAATATAAATATCACAATTTTCACTGTAATCACTTGCTGCATCCGTGTATTGACCTGCCATACTGCATGAGCCAGAACAGAATTGGAATGATTTACATAAATCAGAATTATGACATAAAGAGGCACATTTTCCGAGAGAACTATCGAATGATACTGTATTTTGATTGTCGGTAAATCTTTTGGATGGAATTTTCTTGAACTTTTGTAGATTGTCAATTAAGTAGGTGATGCATGAGGCATCAGAAGATGCAGTTTCAGACGAAACATTTTCATTGGTAGACACAAGACATTCAACTCTATCATTATAAACACAAAACGAGAATGAATTACAATTATTGTCATTTGAATTGGCACATTTTCGGTAACAAGAACTCGAATCAGTAGCGCCAGTAACTGATATCGTCTTCATTTTGTCTTCAACCAACTTCATATTTCTGTAGATTGAATCAAATAACGAATCGTGTTCATTGTCATTGACAGTTGCTGCATCAGTCACATGATATGGAGTAAAGGTAAACATCTTGTTGTTCTCAGGCGAAATGAATGAAATACTAATGTGATTGAGTCTCTCATGGAGGTTTTCCAAAGGTATTTCTTGGCTATAGCGAAATAAGTTCTTCAATGGAGTCATGAAAACTGAACAAGAAACTCCATGATATTGATCTTCCACAAGCTTTACGTTTTTACCATCGATTCTCTGGCACAAATTACCATCCACAGTCTTGCAGAATGCAATTGCTCTGTTAATGAATCGTGAAAGCTGTTAAAACTAATTCCTGTGCTTAGCCGCTTCTACTTACTCGAAAGGTTCATATTTATAGGAATTTTTTATCAAACAATCTTCTTCATCCCCATCAATTAGGACTTTCGACGCCTTTGTCAAAGCCTTTTCATTTAACTTCATATTTCGCATCTCGAATGCATCTATTTAACAAAAAGAAATATCAGTAAATCAACTTATTGTGACTTATCGATGGAAATTTTTGAGTAAAGATTCGTTACTTTTTATTCTTGGAAAGTCCAAAATCGTAATGTAAATAATAATTTCATTGGAATTAAATATTGGCTCAATGTTTGCGATTCTTGAAGCAGCAACTGTTCCAGAGTTGACTAGTGATTCTTTAACTTTATCTTGAAATTGGTAATAATATTGATCAAAGTAATCGCAAGAAATATCTGAAAAAGGAGTAAAAAATATTCGTTTACTTTTCAAGTGACAAGGTTATTGAAATTAAATCGTGATTTGATACTAACCTTTACAGGTGAAATACATTGCAATAGTCTTTCTCGATGCAGGATCAGGATAGCAGTTTTGAAGATTAAACTTTCTTGTTGATTCTGATGAGCTTATTTCATGTCCATAAAAGAAGTATTCAGTTGCACGTGAAGCAGTCAATCCAACCTGTAAAATGTATTGCCATATTTAAGCCGACATTTCATTTTTTAAATGCTAACGTTATTAAGATTGTTTGGGGCTATTGTTTGTTTGATAATATTATAATAATAATAATATGTTAAATGTTTAGCGTAAAAAACTAGAATGAATATTGACTCGGGAATCGAGTACAGGCAAGATGCAAGAGTATTTGTTTGCTACATTTATTTGTATTCGAAGCAAAGCTTCTTCATAGTTACATTGTTATTGAATACTCGACCAGCAACGAGCGGTCAATCTTCCTGACTGGATAACATTCATTAGATGCATTGCAACTATAGTTGAGTTTATTAGCTAGTCAATAATAATAATATCGAAACGTTCCAGTAAAAGTCATTCATCTAATAGTCTTCCACTTAATATTGATTTTGGTATTGAGTCTTGTTGTCTTGAAATGCTAAGTCAAAATGTTTGGTTCACGAAGCTATTACAAGTTCGCTTTGATAAAGGAACTTTAGGCTATCTGATTTTATCATCGATTGAATAATCTAGCTCAATGTTATACAATTGCATATAATTTTGAGAGTTAATTATTACTAACAAACTTTAACTCCGAACAATCCTTCACAATACTTACGTAGTTGTTATAGGCATTGATTTTGGTGCCGATAAGAGTATAGCCAGAAGTTATATCCTGTGAAAACAACATTAACAAAAAGTATATTTACATTGTGTGTATTACATTACATTACATTTACAAAAGTGTATTTATTATTAATGCCAATAAGATTAGTTTTTCCATTGAATCGGGTTAAACTTACAGAAAACTTGTTGAAATACTGAGTAGTAACGACACGTGGATATGTCTTTTCCTCGACTTTTGCCTGCTCTTCACTTATTTGCCAAGCATGTGTTCCGATTCCATTCCGTTCATCCTAAAATAAACATTAAATTATTGTTAAATCATGATTAAAAGCACTAACAAAGTTCTTACAAAAAGTGCTGGCCCAAAATAGCGATAATTCAAATCAAAGTTGAGTAATCGATTCAAATCAAGTTTAAAGATGTCATAACCCAATGATGAATCTTGAACTAAACCCGGTGCTGATAGTTTCATTGGAGAACTGAACAATTTCCGTCTTCTGTAAATTCATATTCAATTCCTATTGATATCGTAAATGGTTTCAGTTGTATTATCTCCATCAGTTGAACTTTTAATGTTTAGGATTTGACACTTTTCATCAGCATAAACCTGTAATAAGTACATTTATTATCATATTTATATATTTGATCAAACAAATGGTATAATTTTTCTTACTTCTTCTTTCTTTGATGGGCCAGCATTGAAACTTTTGGTTTTGGAAATGAAATGAATCGAATGTTCTGTTATCCTAGGAAAAGGTTCATGGGGTACATCCAAAGAATCAATAGCTGATTGCTGGCAGTAGGCAGTTGGATTAGGCTAGGATAGAGCACGGTCGAAATTGAAACTTAATGATAAATTTTAAGCAATCGCTTAACGAATGAGCCAACAAATTTACTTACCGTAACAATTGTATCAAAATTTTGTTCAACTCGTGTGTTGGTATAAATGTAGAACCAATACATTCCACTTTTTTGATAAAACTTGACTTGATTTGGTTTTTTGATTCCAGTTTCATAATTATCAACTGTATGTTCAATACTGTTAATGAATTTCGGATAATCACATCATTGAATGGGTCTTACCTGTGAAGTAAAACCACACATCGAGATGTTCATCAAGACGTCCTTTAGCAGCATGATCTTTAAAACCTCTGATAACTTCATCTTTAGCTGGTTTCTGGATTCAATAGAAAGCCTGCATTAAGCCGAGTATGCATTCAGAATTATATTAAATATCTTTTCCAGCTTGACTTACCCAGACATGTATGTAATCAACTATTCTGAATATAACTGAAGGTCCAACGAGTAACAAATGATTGAGAAACTCAAAATCATATAAATTTGGCAAGGTATCACTCCAATCATCGTCAGTATATGCGAATGACTTACAGTAATGATCTAAAAGCAGAGATAAATCAAACTGATGCATGTAAAGGTAGTTAATATATACAAAACTTACCACGAAAAAATAATCTGTTGTATCGCTTTGTATTCGTATAAAAAATTGATCGAACATCATCATCATCGATCTTAAAATCTATTTTGCCTCTGATTGTTCCATTGACAGATTTAACATACTCGATAATATTTATCTCAAGAGAACTCTTCTGGAAATCGTAATAAATTCGTATCAAAGCACAAACGAACGGTTTCATTTCTACTTACTTCATATAAAAGTTTCGCTTTTATCAGCCAATTTCCATCTTCAATGATCATCGGAAGTTCCGCAGGCATCACTAAAATAATTTTAAGGTTGATTAATATATGCAGTCGATATTGTAGTTAATCAGTCGAAATTTACCTGAAAAAACTTCACTTATGACAGTTGTGCATAAAAATACAAACAAAGTTAATATAATCATATTGTTTTTCAGTTGAGATGATTATTCACAAGCACAAATATCTGACTTAATGAAAACAAAATAAAGTAAACACCGATTTTGTTTCCAGTTTTATTTCAATAACAAAAACGCCCAAAACAGGTGAAATAATATAATCAAAATTGGCTTAAGTTCTTGTGTCTTATTAGTCTTGTCAATTTGGATTTGCATCAAACTCTTGGTACAAAACTCACGAGTAATTATTAATAGAATAATCAATATAAACTGTTAATACAAGATTTAAAAGATTAGTATTAAAAGATGCAACTGTCACATTTATCACCAAATGGGACAAATGGACAAAAAACGGGCAAAAATTGATTTCTTTTAAATTCAGAGTCTGTTGGTTTTTGGGCATAAAAACTGATTCCATTTGTGAAGGGTGAAAATTTCTCTGATTGACAGTTCTCATGAAGATCGAGCTCAAAGTTAAACCTGACTAGCGTTTTGTGCTATTGTGTAGTCAGATATTTGCGTTAAACATTCTTCTGTTTTAACTGGTAAAAGATCAAAACAGCTAATTCAAAACAGATAAAATCAGCAATGAAACTTTTCAATTGTTCGCGTCTCTAGACTCAACCTGAATGGAGTTTTAATTCGAGTTTTTCATATCGCAACACAATCATAGAAAGATAGGGTGAAAACCAAAAATGGTTACTCAGATAACAGTCATTTGGTTGAAAATCTATGATTAACTCGAATCTCAATTCATCAGCTGAAAATTCTGTAATAATAAAAAAAGATAAGGTAAAAACCAAAAATGACTTACAAGGAAAGATTCTCGAGTCGTAAAGTCAGATTTTTTTCAAACTTGGTAAATTCATAACTGGTCAGCTTGTTAGTAATAAGTTATTGCTGCAATAATAAGCATGCCCGAACATTTGATTCGCAACTCAATAGTCTTTTCAAGATCAAAATCATTCTGCAAAAAGCAAAAGGAGTCCCATTCGCTTTGATTATGATTGCAGAATAAAACAGAAACACGATATGATAAATAATTTGGGTTAAATTGTGCATAACACAAGTACCAGGATATTTACAAATTTAGCATATCAGTTAAAACATTTTATCATTAAAAGTACAAAGTTTCAGCAGAAAATGTATTGAGTGAGTGAGGAGGAAAAACTTTTTTTCTATTCAGGTTGATAGCTCATTTCGGATAAAGAGTTTGCTGAAGAGATCTGGTGCCTCAATTTCACAAAAGATGATCTATAATATTAAGTTTCAATTATAAGCTTAATATTATAAAAACTGTCGACCTGAGCAATCTTTTGATTACACAAATGGACTCAATCTCATGCCTTTTCAATCAACAATGGATCAACTTGAGCAAAAATTTTAGCGTTTGAAATTGAATTTGACATAATAATGGCCAAATATTGAGTATAAATAAAATTTAATTAGTATCTATCTTCATTGTTTTTTTTGATTTAACTTGAATCAAAAAGACGATTTTTATCTCTCAATTCGAGAACAAATAGCATCCACGATCTTGCAGTTAAATAAGTTCTAATTTGATGCAAATTTAGTCATCAAGATTGATTACGATTGCACTTATCTTTCTATGATATCAATGAAGCTTCGGCGACCGACGAGTAATTGGAATAATCAAGATAAACTGTGTACATTTAAAAGACACAATTATCATCAAATTGGCATATATGGACAAAAAACGCGCAAAAATTGGTTTATTTTGAATTCAGAGGTTTTTGTCTGGCATAAAATCTGAGTCCATTTGTGAAGTGTCAAAATTTCTCTGATCGACATTTCTCGAAAAGATCTAGCTAAAAGTTGAAACTTTGCTAGCATTTTCGTGTTGCACAATCGTGTAGTCAGGTATTTGCATCGAACATTACTCTGTTGTAACTGGTAAAGGATCAAAATAGATAATTGAAAACGAATAAAATAAAATGAAATTTTTTCATTGTTCGTGACTCAACCGTAATCGATAAAATCACCGAGGTAAAAACAGTGATGACCCAGATAAGGGTCATTTGGTTGAAAATCTATGATTAACTCGAATTTCAATTCATCAGCTAAAATTTCTGTGAAAAGAAAAAGAATCAAATCCCTTGCTCGCTTTGATTTTGATTTTAGAAACAAAAAAGTTTATCGATGGAAGCACGTTATGATAAATAATTTGGGTTGAAATGTGCATAATACAAGTACCAAAGTACTTACAAATTTAGCATATCAGTGAAAACATTTTATCATTTAAAGTAAAGGGTGTTACACTTAACAGCCTGAAAATTTAGAAGATAAGAATTAAAATTGAGCTTACCTTTATCATAAAATTTGTTGATATTGATGACCAATGACCAATTGGTTTTGGTTTCCTGTCTCTGTTATCTATGTTCATCTTCATCAATAGCAACAAAGGATGAAGACCAAAGAATAGGGAAAACTGCCTAGCGAGGAATGTTTTTTGTTATGAACATATCAGATGGCCCGTCAGTAACCGGCACCCTTGTAATGACCGCTCA